TAGAATAATTATGAACGTTACGGTGAATAAAAAAATTTATGAAATAATATTTAAATGATTAATATTAGGTGGACCGATAATTAATATAGCTTTCTTAAATTAAATTCAAAGGTATACATTTTTTAACAAGTTTTTATTTTTAATCACGATCAAATATCTACATACGCAGAAACGACATTACTTTTCGGTCCACCTTAATATGATCCACGAGATAATCGTTAGAACGAAGATTGTTAGAAATTCTCGATGATCGTTAGAAATTCTCAATGATCGTTAGAAATTCTCGATGATTGTTAGAAATTCTCTTCGACTTGAATTCTCTCTCTCTCTCTCTCTCTCTCTCTTATCTCTTAAATCGTCCCGACTGATCGGAAAAATTGATTAGATAAATAGTCGGGATAAAAAAAAAAGAAAAAAAAGGAAAAAGAAAAAAAAAATCGAACTCTACGCCATAACCAAAAACTGACTGGTCTAAGTAAAATGTCAAGGAAAATGGAGTTACGTCCTAATTTCCGTTCCCGAGAGATGAGGAACGGAATTTTTGCAGTGTGTATGTGACGCAGTGCGATGATAGATACTAAATGTCAACGTTGCGGTACCATCGAGATGCGGGTAACTCTCTATGTGCACATCGTGTATCAAACTTGCTCTCGGATATATGCCAACGGAGGCATCACGTTCTCGCCAGGCCATATTTATAATTTATGACTATTTCTTTTCATAAATCTTTTGCCAAAAGTTCTTTCGGTTTTGCTTATATCTCGTGGATGATGTTCGACATTTCGTCCAATACATTTTCAGTATACATTTGAAATCCAAGAGAAAATGTGCTATTGATTATTTCTCACTCATCCAATATATTTATGTATTCGAACGTAAAATCTTTGTGAGATTATCTCGATTCGATAATCGTTATTTACTCGTATAACTCGTTATCGACATTGGTCGATTTATTTTCATATTTAAATGTAAACACAAATGTACATATATATATATATATATATATATATATGTATGTATGTATGTATGTATGTATGTATGTAGGTATGTATGTATGTATGTATATTTTGTTAATTGCCTTGACTTTAACATTAAATTATAATTCCTGTAATATAATTATTCAGAAAATGGATAACACGTATCAATAAAGATATATATATATATATATATATATATATATATATATATATATATATATATATATATATTGGACAGTACACGCAATGCAATCTGGGCCTCGGCAAGCTCTCAATGTCCAACACTCGACAATGCGTATTGTCTTGGTTAAACTTGAATTGTACCATAGCTAATGCAGATTAAACGGCTGCCTTTGTGCATCTAAGGCGAAACGTGTAAGGCACACCGTTGATACGGGTGGTAGCATTATATAGATAATCTTCTTTGGCTTCATTAAATTTGATAACATCTATTTTAATCGGCCATTAAACTTTCCCTTTGTATCTTCGACGTAAACCATTCCTCCTCCTCCTCCTCCTCCTCCTCCTCCTCCTCCTCCTCCTCCTCCTCCTCCCCCCCCCCCCCCCCTCCTCCTACTCCTCTTCCTATTCTTATTCTTCTTATACTTAGTTAAAATACTACCTCTTTTCATTTAGTACACTAAATGTCTAAAAAAAAAAAGGAAACATTTTAATTATATTAATATTATATCTCTGACGATGAGTTTACTTTAGAAATTATCATATAAATAATAAATAAATTATTTATATAAACACAGAAATTTGACATATCGACATTTATATTGTAAATAAATATACATTTAGTTGACACAAGGAGTATATATTTTATTTTATATTAATAGATGATGAGATAAAAATTGTAAAAATAGTTATCGATTTAATTATATTTCGTTCGTTTTATTTCTACATTTTGTTTCTCTGTTTTTCCCTTTTTTCTTTTTTTTTTTTTTTTTTTTTATCTTTTTCTTCTTTCATACTCTATTTTCTTCCCTGGCTTTTGGGACGAAAATTATTTATAAAAATTGCAAAACGTATAAAGGTTTATATTCATGGAAAAGTACACATTTAATTAACGCACTTATTGGTTTCCATGACATACCGAAAAAAAAAAAAGACAGAGAGAGAGAGAGAGAGAGACAGAGAGAGAGAGAAAAAAAAAAGAAAAAAGAGAAGGAATAAAAATAAAAATGTATCAATATAGATGATGCGTTCGCGCATTTGTTTTTTATACGATTTTCTGACTTTACACAGATCCCGACATGGCCGTTTCGCTCGATGGAAGCTCTGCTTAAAACCACGTTAATCCGATTAATGTCTACCAGGAGTCATACTATTAAAGCCGATCTCTGCATGATAAGATAAAGCCAGTATATACGTGGTATATGTTTATATATATATATATATATATATATATATATATATATATATATATATATTACATATAATATATTATATATATATAATATATTATACATAATCTATATATATATATATATATGGGCTTAATGCTATGGAAATGTTTACAAGGGACCTACTCGTCGATCCGTCTAGAGTTTTTAAGAGTTAATAAATTAAACAGGAAAACTAATCTCCAACGGTATTACAAGCTCGGCTATATTTTTTTAATTTTGTTAACGCGTGATCTCTGGCACATTGTCTTTATTAAGAAATATCTCGTATATTAAGATTCATGGGCGGGATAGCTAACAACGGGAGGCCTTTCCTATTGCCTACGAACATTTTGTATTCTAACTTCACACCTAGGACGTATTAAGCTTTGTAGGATGCAACGAGCGAACACACCGTTTAATATTCGTATGCGGTTTCGAATAAGTGCGGGCGGTAGAATTCTCACCATTCTATATATATATATATATATATACAGGTATATATATATATATATATACCTGTTAAATTCAAAGTTTCAATTCGAAACATTAGCATCATTACTTACATTTTGCCCAATCGATAAATCTATCATTCATATACTAGACAGCTTGCAAAATTACGACCGTGAAATAATGATTATTATTGAAACTTAATCTACTTGATAATTAAAATTAATTGCTCGATGCATATTCCGTGGTTTCGTTCGTTCATTCGTTCGTTCGTTCGTTCGTTCGTTCGTGATCACTCTGAAGACCATTCGAATATTTAGGAATGATCGAGAAGTTATTAAGCAACTTTCATCCCGAATAATAGCGTTATTGATTTAAACCTTAATATATATATATATATATATATATATATATATATATATATATATATGTATATAAAGAACTTTGGAAAAATATTGAAACGTTATAGACGTATGTGGCCATTGTATAAAATGATATTACATGATATGATATATCACTTAACATTAACAACAATTATTACAGCAATTACAGAAAAATTAAGATTCATTATTATCGAATATTATTTCTTTACGAATGTTTTTAAACGTAAAAAAAAAAAGAAAAAAAGAAATTACGTTTACACAAATCTAACGAGGTTAATATAGCTTTTTTTTTATTCGAGTCCCTTGTGTTTAAAAAAAAGAAAAAAAGAAAAGGGTCTATATAAAGAAAGGAGGTATGATATATTCTGATAAAAAATATAATCTTTCTTTTATTTGTTTCTTTTTCTTTTTTTTTTTTTTTTTGTTTTTTTTTTTCTCTTTTTATTTTTCCATACAAATCTTTGTTTAAGTTTTTTTTACTGACAAAGAAAAAACGAGAAAGAAAAATGTATTTATGTGCTAACTAACAAAGAAAATACCTGTATACTAATGGCGTACAATCTATTCTTAAAAACCTTACGAAACACTTTGAATAGAACAATGGGAATTCATTTACAAAAGGTATACGAATGTAATGAACAAAATTGTCATACATTATTTTTATCTTCGTTTATTTTAGAGAAAACGCCAACGAACAATTTAATTAAGCGATGACGAACAAATAAATATTTCTTTGAACGATGAATATTTAACCCAATCAACGATAACCGTTACGGAAAATTAAACATTCACGTAGTTCTTTCAAATCAATTTATTTCATTGATATTGACGCTATAGAAAAGGTATAATGGGTAGACCAACAGAAAATTACCAACGAACGTTGATAACATTAAGCTCTTATTTTACAGTTTCTCACGGAGTTATGATTGCATTTAAATTAAATTGATTTTTCCTTTTCTTTTCTTTTTGTTTTTTTTTTTTTTTTTTTTTTTTTTTTGTTCTTTTCTTTTTTTTCTTCTTTTGTTTATTTTCAAATCTAGACAGACACACGTTCGAGTTTTTATTATCGTAAATGGAACAATTTCAAATGTCTAATTTCAATCAATTTTTAAAATCCACTTTAACGACCGAGAAAAAGAAAAATGTGTATCTATTAATTCCTTTTCTCCCTCTCTCTCTCTCTCTCTCTCTCTCTCTCTCTCTCTCTCTCTCTCTCTCTCTCTCTCTCTCTCTCTCTCTCTCTCTCTCTCTCTCTCTCTCTCTCTCTCTCTCTCTCACTTTCGGATTCTCGTGATTGAACGCAAACCTTATACAATATTCTTACCTACTTGAGAGCAGAAACGAGAGAAAAATAGTTTTCCGTTGAGTCCGTCGGTATCGTTCGCTATCATATCATCGACATATTCAATTCGATTTCGACGAAGCGATCTCGAAAATGTTAGGTGATCGTAAAAGCTACGGGTGGTGGCCATAGCCACCATTTCTGAAAATATCCAAGTATACCGATGATAGGACTATCGGTAGAGTTGGACGACTGTCTCTCAGGAGTTTGGATGGGGTTTGGCAACCTGCTGCTACTGTTGCTCCTATTTCTCGTTCAAGATAGTAAGAGACCGAGCTACGATGAAATTGCAGATTTATGCGCGGAAGTTCTTCGATCCGCGAGTGAAATGCCGGAGGGGGGAGGGAGGGCAAGGGGGAAGGACTAACAAGAGACGAAAAGCGAAAATATTCGAGAAAGAGTAGGATATGGTGGATAACCGTGACTCGCGGTTATGCGAGTTTTCCCTCCCCTATATATATATATATATATACATAGTTTGATTTCCATTGGCGAGCGAATGAATCAGAGTAACGGAGAAAGAAAAAGGAGAATGAGGGGAGGAAATGGGTGGGACGGGGGTGGAGCGGGGAAAATGAGAAAGGGATAGAGAAAGAAAGGCAACGCGTCCACTGGGAATATACGGACGCATTATGAAATGCGGCCACGAGAAACGGCAGCACTGCTCTCAGGGGCAAATAAGTTTTCGAGGTCCTAGAATACATCAGGCAACACGTGTCTCGCAAAAAGCCAGGAGTTTCGCGGCCGGGCAATAAGTTCATGGAAATATATAGTGTGCCACGGGGGAGGTCGGGGGTAGTATTAAAACTTTTTTATCCTTTAACATATGAGAGACAGAGAGAGGGATAAAGAGAGAGAGAGAGAGAGACTCCCATTGGCAACCCTAGAAAACCTTTCTTCTCTCCATTCTAGTACTTTCCTTAATTGCACATAACGTAGTTCTCTCTGGCCGACCATAACTGATGGTCGATGGTTCCGTTCCATTGATATTTATAACGTGACATGTTTACAATTGGGGACAAACGTTGAATAGCTCACGTTGAATCGATGCGTTTGATTCTAAACTCGTATTACATTGGAATATGAAGAATTTTTAAATATACATTACAAAAGGAATTTCAATTTCAATGAAAATCTCGTAGAATTATTATCCTTTACGATTTCGATTAAAATTTTAATATTCCATACCGACATATATATATATATATAATATTTTCTAATTAAATACTAACGAATGAAAATGTATCTCTTTCTCATTTCTCGTATTTTCCTTTTACTGAAGAACGATTAACCGAGATGCTAGGAAAGAGTTATTATGGCAAATGGCGATGAAAAGAAATAAATAAAAGGAAAAAGGAAAAAGGAAAAAGAAAAAGGAAAAAGAAAAAGGAAAAGGAAAGAGAGAGAGAGAGAGAGAGAGAGAGAAAGAAAGAAAGAAAGAAGAAAAAAAAAAGTAAAAAGAGAAAATAGAACTACCGATCGAGATGCGATCGCAAGGGCAATGTTGCTAGTAACACCGAATGAAGAATTACGATATCGCGTGATGGAGGTACTCGCTCGAGCTGTCATTCGACTTAACAACGGAACTACCAACTAACTCCCACTTGCCTGAGAATATTTTGTCATGCCAGACGCACCTGGCAAAAACGAAGGAATAATTCGCCTGCCGGGTTGAGCCATGAACCGTCGTTTACATCGACGATTGCGTTAGAACGATCTTTTTCCTTTTTTTCTTTTTTTTTTCTTTTTTTTTTTTCTTTTTTTGCTTTTTGCATTTTCTCTTTTTCTTTTTCTTTTCCCCGATTTCCTCTTTCCCCATCCCCCGTTTTATGAAGTATAAATATCTCCTTCTTTCACGATCGTAACACACACACACACACACACGTATATAAGAAAAAGAAAAAAATCAAGAATTTGAAAGAAAAACGATTGTAAAGCTGAAAAGGAAGAGTTTTGAGGATAAGGAAAGAAAGGAAAAAGAAAAGAAGAAGAAAAAAATAAAAGTATTACGTTAAAAAAAAAAGGTGATATTTGCGGAAACGAACTTAGTCCCGTCTCGGTCCTCCCTCCCTCCCCCTTTCCCCCCCCCCCTTTTGATTCCACCAAGAACTCCTAAGTTCAGGGTCCTTCATTCTAGCCGAGTTACCTTCCTTCTTTCCGCGCTGCGCGTCAGCTTCAGAATAATATCAAGACGACGATTTATCGTCGCTCGCTTAATCGTCCTCGCTTATCCGCGACGCTATTACGAGCATCCGCCTTCGTCACCCATCCTCCATTCCCACTAGAACTCACCCCACCCATCTTATTCCCCTCTAACCCCATCCTTCCTGTCAAGACTCTAGACGTAGCTCGTGTCAGCCGTATTTATATCGGCTGCTTAGTTCTGCATGTCCGTAATGAATAGCGATATTGTAGGAGAAAATGACAAGGATGAAGGCGTGGGTGAGACGAGGTGAGGAAAGACGAGGCGTGCCAAGGCGTGGCGAGGCAGGAATTGGGATGATGAGGGAGAGGGGCGGGGGGAGGTGGACGGGTTTGAGAAAAGAAAGATAAAAGATTTAAGAAGGAGAACCGTAGACGAATTTTCGTTGTATACGAAAGAGGGATATCCGTCTCTCTTAGTATCTTTCTATTTCTTCTTTTTCAGTTTCTCCTTCTTCTTCTTCTTCTTCTTCTCCTCCTCCTTCTCCTCCTTCTCCTCCTTCTCCTCATCCTCCTCCTTTTCCTCCTCCTTCTACTCCTTCTACTTCTTCTTCGTCTTCCAAGCGTCACGTCGGCGAAAGGAGCCGAGAAAAGTGAACCACTTAACCTCAAGAGGGTATAGGCAATCGACAGAAGTAGAATGACGAGCGAGCTCTTTGAAATATTCATTGCTTTGCATCTTTAAAGACGATTAAGCGAACAAGCCGAAAGATTCCTGAATACGTATTGTCTGTTTACTTTTCATCCCTCCCTCTCTA